AAAATAAGAACCAAGATACTCATGTAATGGTACAAGATCCCAATGATGAATGTAACTGTATTTTATACCTAAAATGTACCAATAAACAATGGGGGGTAGAATAAAAAAGAAAAGTGAGATAAAAAAAAAGATAACAAGTCAACACAAACATGGGATGAATTTCCAATTCCAAATTATGCAAAGCAACTCATGATGAGTGAAAGCAATACTATGCTTACATTACAGAAATTTATATGTAAAATTCCCTTACCTAGAAAAAAAATCCATTTTGCAATGTTTAATTATCCTCTGTATAACAGAAGTGGTTACAAGTTGGGAGGAAAGACTCATATTCATAAGAATGTTGATAAGCAATACAGAAACACATCATAAAACAACCCTAGTAAATGATTTCTGTGATACAGGACAAAAACTTTCAAATAATATATTTTATAAAAAAATAACCTGAAAAATATGTTTAAATAAATTTCAAAACAGAAATATCACTTTGCATTACATATATTAATACTTTAATGAAGTAAAACTCACACAATCTTCTGAGGAAAAGTATATCCCTTTATCATATTAATTTTAATAAATCCCCTAAATATGTTATAGGAGCACATATACCAAAATGGTAAAGTAATAATTAAGAACCACAATAATACACATAAAAATAATGAATGGAAAGAAGGAAAGACATTATTGCAAGCGCAAATTAGAAAAGTAACAGAAGGTGTAGATCACAGAAACTCAGGACATTTTATGATAAAGAAAATATGCTCTGGATGTGCTATTTAGTACAGCAGCTTCCGGATATGTGTGCATAAGGAAACCTTGAAATTGGACATCCCAATTAAGAGCTTGAAATTTAGTCATAAAAATTTAAGTATTATGAAACCTTATGAACATTCATTACTCTATGGGAGAAAATGTATCCACAATCATGGAGGAAGCAAATCCTTGATATACATTTGAGACAGTGATAGAAGAGGGACAAAACCATCAAAAATAAATTAGAGTCCTTTATAGGAAAATGGATGCAACTTGAGACCATTATGCTAAAGAAAATAACTCAGACACATGAACTTAAAGATGTAACTATACAAAAAGAGCAAAAGAAAGAGGAGAAGCTGGGAAGTAGAGAGAAACTCTCCAGAGAAGGAGGAAGGGCAAGGGAAGGAAGGGGTAGGGGATGAAAAAGGCACCCAGCTGTGCTATGCATGGCCAACTCCACACAGGGAACCAAACATGATGATCTGTAAACATGGACTCATAAAGACTTTTAAAATTTAAAAAGATAGGGAATGGGATGGGTAAGAACTGCTGATAAAATAAATTTACAATAAAACTTAAGCACCAGAAGATAGCAATTCATCTAACATTGGGCAGGACCTGTTTTAAGCAGGGCTCACATCTAATTGTTTGGTGAGCTCACCAGGAGCCAAGATTGCAGACAGTGAAGCCCTCTAGCTTCTCAGAAGCTTTCACAGGCAGGCAGCAAGTTGCTCTTCTCCCAAAGTGGTGAGCACTGCAGCTCCTCCTTCCTGGGAAAATGCTTTGCTTCCTCTGCCTGAGTTCCCTTTATATAGAGGAGACCACTGAGCAAACCCAATCAGGGCCACAAGCCAGGGGATGCACCCTGATTGCACACACTCTGCACCTCATCAAGGCTTCCTTTCTGGGCACATGGGGCTCACTTTGACTGCATCCTCCAGACACATATAAAGCTATAACCTCACATGATGCAGAACAAAGAGAAAAGACCAGTAGAAACTTACATTAGCAAGGCACAATCTGCCTGCTATATTTTAACCAAGAATCTCAATTGTTTTCTATGTTCCAGGAAAGATTGTACATTTCAAAGTTGTTGTAGAGAATCATACTTTCAGGAACACATGCACAGGTAAATGAAATTTGAGGGAGGGCACGGATTTGGAGCATGTGAGCTGAGTTCCACAGTCCATGTCAATATAGAGTTGATCACAGGGACTGAGTTGTAATCAGTTTCAGGAGCCCAAATACCTAATGAGCAACTGCAGGTGGAAAGCATTAATTAATTCAGCTGCACCCACTTCATAGGTTCTTTAACTACTATTTGTCCAATCAAATTGTATTCTATGTCTCCATTTTACACATGATGCAGGATTACAATCCTTTTAGGATCTCTCTGACCTTCTTCGGTTATGAGGGTTTCCTGAATCTCAAATTTTCTTTTGTACATCCTTTAAATTCTGTTACATTTCATTGTTCTAAGGTAATTTCCTTTTTGAAAGGACCTAGAGTTGGAGTAGTGTGTAGTAAAGGTGAGTTAATATTGAAAGAGAAATGCAAAAATGACAATTCAAATGATTATTTCAGAGGAATGAAAGGTAATTGCATAAAATGTAATGAAATGAGTGTAATAAACCATGATGTTGCTGTATGAGGGGCAGATGATGGAATATATCTGGGGCTGAATCCAAAATGGATCAGGAATGGAATGGAGCAGTCTGGAACAATGTAGAGTATGCAGGAATGGACTGAGTCCAGGTGTGACCTCTCGTGTGGATGTTGGAGGTCAATTCTAGCCACCTGGGGTCAGGAGATTCTGGGCCATTTGGGTGACACCTTTGTTAAAATTCCACTTCTACTTGGAGCAGCCTGCAGAGTCTGGAAATTTCCCCCCTCAGGTCCCCAGTGCTCCCCTGAAATGCATGGAGGTGGCTGAGCTTCCTCTTCTTCAGGGATTCAGCCAAGTGAGGATGGGACCAGCACAGGTCTCCTCCTGCCTCCTGGAAGCTGAGTTTGAGTCTTGCCCCTTTCTCTGTGTCATAGGCTCGGGCAGAGCTGTGGGTTTCCAGTAGACTTCTTGCCTGGGGCTTGAGAAATGGACACACGTCACAAGTTATGGATTTAGACACAGTTTGGAGAAATTGTAGGGAGAAATTCTGTGACTTTGCTTTGTCAGCATCTCAAGGAGGGAAGTGACCTGATCAGAGCACTGTAGCGATCAGCATGTGCCAAGTGTTAGCCTGGAAGAAAACTGCAGCAGTGAAGCAGGGAAAAGCCTCCCCCAGGAAAGACACCAGAGGCTATGAAATCCTGTTGTTTAGCACTGCCTCTTGGGCCCTCTTGGGATAATCCTGCATGAGAGAGCCTTCCTCTGCTGCTCTTCTTGCCTGAAGAACAGGCAGGGCTAAGAAGACACATGGATCCCTGCTTGGAACTGGAGAACAGTGTAGATTCCCACCCCATCCACTGTGCCATGATGCAGGCCCTGAAGCTCTGGGATCCTGTCTGATTCTGTCCACTCCTCAGTTCAGGCCTTTCCCAGCCCCAGGCAGCCCTTCTCCTCTCCCTCAGAACCTTGACCCAGACCCCCGGCTTTCCTTCCTTTCCTGTGCAAAGTTGCTAAAGAGGGGTGGATGGAATCGAGCCTGGAGTGCAGTACTCTCACATGGATTGAGTGACCTAAAAAGAACTAAAGGACTGGATCCCTGGGGCAGTGTACTGGGGAGACACAGAGAAGGTGTAGGCCATGTAGAGGTGGGGATGGATATGAGGAGAGTAAGAAGGACCTGAGATTGGTGTGTGGGGCTCCACATGCATGAAGGGTCCCAAGGAGAAACCAGTGGATCCCATGCCTCTTTTATGTTTGTTGGTTACAGGGGATGGAACTCAGGACCTTGCACTTCCCAGGCAGGCTCTGTGCTGCTGAGCTACATTCTGGGCCCCAAGAACTTTTGTAGAGCCCCAGGGAGGTACCCTGAGTGTCAAGGAATTTTATTGTACAGCACCTCTGTATCAGTATTTGCACAAGAGATTTGTAGCATCTGAAGAATAAGTATTTCCTATGTATTGCAGGCATTGAGAAGAATATAGCAAGAATACACACTGTACAGACAGCTTGTACAACTATCGAACACTTTATGAAAACAATAAATTGACTGAAGCTGACTTCTGCTATGGCTATGATAGTTTAGATATGGATGCACAATTCATGGAAATAGGAGAGCATTGGATTTGTAGAGGAAATTGATGGCTGAGCGCCTTCAGAACACCCTTATCCAAATGCTGCTCTGAGCAATCACCAGTGATCATGATGCAGAAGACCCAAACCAGAAGGTACTCAATGGAGTTATTAACTCTTTGTCCATGTTGAACAGTATAAAAAAAATTTCCTTTAAAGTTTTGTCAAGGAATTCTTGAGTCTCCCTTTCTGATTCATATAACAGAGAATTATATAAAAAAACTTCAAATTTATTGCAAGAATCAAATTGCTCACAGTGCATGGAAAGGGTTCTAAGGAGACTAGGGGTTGGGTACATTCAATGTCAAGAATATTTCCATCCAAGTTGATGTACTAGAGTAATTCTTGAATGCCAGCAACAAATGGCAGCAGACCACTTACTGTTTTTACATTCAGGCTGCCATAATATCATTTGACCAGTGAAAAACATGGCATGGCAGATATGTATGTCTTACTGCACGCTGTGTCTCCTCAGTTACCTCATATGATTCAGGAGCTGAAAACTCATATCCATGATTAAGGGTTTGGAGTAACCAGTAACATTCTTCAGGAAAATCAACCAACACTGTTTATGGAGTCACTTTGGGAAATGCCTGCCAAATTTTTTCAGCTTATGAACACTGTTTTGAATGATGATCAACACTATGTGAGGGCATTGCATAAGGTTTTATGTGAGTGGTAAATCCAGAGAGCCCATGTCTGTCTGCAGAGCACCCAAGCTGTAGGCTAAATACTCTGATGATGTCATAAAGAAGACAGTACAAGAATGGCTGAGACTGAAGTAGAAGACAAGTTGATGAGGTTTTCTACTGTTTTCAAATATATGGATGATAAGGATGCTTTTCAAAATTTCTATGCAAGTATATTGGTAAAATGCTTCATTCATGGATTATCTATGTCTTAGAATTCTGAAAATGCTATGACCAATAAATTCCAGGCAGCCTATGATTGTGAGTTTTCCAGCAAACCACATGGATATACAGTTGTGGTGTTAGTGCAGATTTCAAAAATAAGTCAAATTGTTTTATCAGAAAAAACACAGTAACAGTTTTGGGCATTTGCTCACATATGTGATCTCCAGCATGGCACTTGCCCAGTACTCATGCTCCACTATCTACATTTGCAGTTCCACGAGAAATATATTAAAAAAACCAGATGTTTGTGTCAGGTAAAAGGGCCAAAGACCAAGACCAGACCAGGCCACAACAAGCCTTTATTAGGGGAATAGATCTGCCGGGCTGTCTTTGAACAAAGGAGAGCCAAAGCAATATGGCTGGGGCAGGGAGAGTCTTTTATAGAGACTGGGGTGGGGTTTGTAGGGGCAGAGGTGGGGTTGAGTGAGGCAGTGACTGGGGAATGGAGGAGCCCATGATGTCACTAGGTGGTAGGAGGTGAGCGAATATTAGGTTACTTTCTAGGCGGGAACAGGGTCATGCTGGGAAGAAGGGTTTGTTCTTTGGTGGGAGCAACCATCTTGGCGTGACGTCACACAGGGGAGGGGGCAAGGCACCATAGGAAGAGGGCAGCTACTATACATAATAGCTGCTGAGGTGGTGGGAGACCTATCAGTTTGAATTACATTATAGCCAGCATCTCAGCTGACAGAAACCGACACAGTTACATTGTCTCTGCACGGGTGAAATTAAAAGGAGCCATCTGGGCAACTGTGTGTAGCCATGGTTATGACCCAGCAAGGGGCAGATCTTCTTGTCTTTAACAACAGTGAAACTGTCAGCTACAAGGAGATTTCCAACCACAATCAGATGAATAAAGAGGATCTGACAAAACTATCAAATCATTGCTTGTGAAATGATTCACCATGATTCACAAAAGGAAATCATTGATGTGGAATTCTTTTGTACATGGAATATGAAATTAGCATTAAGAGAACAAAATTAAAAACTTCTCCATCAGTACAGAAAGATTCACCACATAAGTGAAACAGACCAGAAATGGTGAAAATGAGGATCTGAAAATGCATCTCTTGCTGCCATTTTTCATAGCAGGACAGTAAAAATTACTTTAGAAAATACTACTCATCTTGGAGAGGTGACTCTGGTTAAGAACTAGGTTTACTCCCAGTGCCAGGAGGATGAAGAGGTGTATTGAGATTCTCCTGGACAAACAGTACATGGAACTCACCCAAAGGTCCAGTGATGAGCTGCGCTGCATGGTGTGCTGGAGCTCTGCTCTGGGTGGGTGTGAGAGGATTCCTGCCTTTGCACTCCCTGCACTCCTGTGGGGAGAAGGAGGCCAGGGCCTGTGCAACTGGGTCACGTGACATCCCATGTGCTCTGCTGTTTGCAGTGACACCAGTGCCTGTCATGAGTGTCAAAGAAAATGCCTAGAGATATTTCAAGCTCATGTCATGATGACATTTTTGAACTTTTTCTGGAAAAAAGAATAAGGCAAAATCTGCTAAGAAAGAAGGTCACTTCAGCTAGCCTAAAAATGTTTAAAGCATTAGATTTCATTTAAAATACATGTATGACCCCAGAACAAATACAGGGGTGCAAAGATTCAAGAGACA